CCCTCCTTCTTCAGCAAAGCATCTGGTGGATTCAAACTATATACCTCTGGGATTGCAGTGCAGCTTCTTGCCACTAGGCCACCAGAACTCCCAAGATTACTTCCTTTATTTTAATACAGCTTCCTTTGAATTTTGTGTTGGGAGCTTTTTAAAAGTGTGGTATATGGTACCAAAATATTTGCCATTTCAACAGCCGTCAAGTGTATAGTTCAGTGGCATAAAATACATTCATCATGCTGTTCAAACGTCATATATTTTCTCTATTTAGGATAACAGTCACAACTTGTGAGGTGTTATTTAGGGGCTTCCCCCCACCCCAGGTAAATTTCATTAGAATTCTAATGGAAAAAAATATTACATTCAGGTATATTTAAAAACATTTTGAGAGCTAACCTAGATTAAGGAGCTCTGGTGGGGTAGTGAGAAGGAGGTAGGTTCTGACTCGATGGCACACAATGGCATGATGATATATTTGGAGAGGTGGTGACTTAATAGTACGGAGTTGCACTGCTAACCCAAAGGCAAGCAGTTCGAATCCACCAGCAACTGTGCAGGACAAAGATAGGCAGTCTCCTCCTGTGTGATTTACTGCCAGAAAACCCACTAGAGGGTCAGCTATGAGTGGGTTCCAAGATGACAGTACCTAAGAATAACCATATGTATGGGGCTCTGGTGGCCTAGTAGATAGGGAGCTGCATTGCTAAAGCCAAAGGTGGCTTCTCTGGTGGTTCAGATCCACCAGCTGCTCCGTCGGAGAAAGATGGGACATCTCCTCCCATGTGATTTACAGCCTCTGAAAATCCACTGGAGGGTCAGCTCTGAGTCGGTTCCAACTCGATGACAATGGAAGGGAAGAAGATGACTTATTTTGAAATTTTTTTTAAACTTGGATAGAAATAAATCTATATGAGATTAAGATTTTTTCACAGAACACTCTGCTTTGTGCTTCAGAGGTCTTTTCTCTCAAAGTTTTCCATGCAGTCTCGGTTTTATACTATCAGTGAATTATTTATAGTAGGCAGGTTGCAATCCGTCGTCCCATTTAATGCTAGAGAGGGAGTTACGTGGCAGATGTCACTATTAATATTTCACCCATTTTCTAGCTTGCTCATATTTCTCTATAAATATGATTTTTAGAAATTGCTGGATGCAGACCTTGTTGTTTCCTCAGAATAAAAAAGGTCATGCTAAATTTTTTTAAGGGCAAACAGAATATCTCAAAATCTAGGATTTGTTATCAGAGACAGAGTGACTCAGAGTGTGGACCTTGGGCTGGTGATGGCCCTCAGAATGCTGTTGACCTTCAATAAGTACAGAAAGTGAGGAAAGCCTTGTAAATATTTATGGCAATTGGACATTTTGATGACATACAAGAGCTTTTCAAATGGTGAGCTCTGGTGGCCTAGTGGCAAGAAGCTGCACTGCAATCTCGGAGGTACA